CCTGGGTGCTGCGTTTCCTCCCGGGGGTCGGTTTGGTTTGGGGGTTTGGTTTTTATTTTTTTTTTGGAGACAATTCCAAAGCACTTCCGCTGATTGATCATTAACCCGGTGAGTTATTGCTCCTCTAAGCAAAGGTCAGGGAGAGAAAAAGGTCCAATCTGTCAAGGCAAAACCCACTGCTCACTCAGTTTCATTTTGATTTCTTATCCGGGTCGGCTTCTGTTTGGGGTTTCAGGAGGTCCTGGACCCTCCAGAACTCTCCGCTCCTCGGAGCTCTCCCCTTCCTCCGGTTCTCTGTCTGTGGAGTGGGAAAACCCAAACTCCTTCCCTTTAGAGAAAAAAAACCTGGGCCAAGAGCGGGCGGAGGAGGCGGTGGGTGCTGCGGGACTCCCCGCCCTGCGCCGGGGGGTTTCGACCGGGTGCGGGACGAGTGGGCGAGGGGGTTGGGGCTGCACCGCCTCCCAGAGAAAAATTAATGCAAATCAAATAGATAAAAAACCCACCCAAATCAAAACAAAGAACACAGGAAGGGGGGGAAAAACCTCACTCACTTCCACCTCCTCTCGGGCTGCTCCCGGCCCCCCCCGGGCCCGGCGTGGGAGGAACTCGCCGGGACTCAGCCTGCACTCGCTGAGCTCACAGCCCAGAAAGGGTGTTCTCTCCTCTTCTCTTATTTTTTTTCCCCCCCTTTCCTCTTTACAAATCTCTGTGTGTACTCTACAGAGGGAACTGCAAAGCCCCAGTTAACCAGGGAAGACTGTGATGTAAGTGGAATATTGCCAAAGCTGTGTATTAAAGTGGGCGCGCACGTAATAATAACACTAATAAAAAATACAGCTATAGGCCGCCGACTGGAGAAGGTCGCGAAGCATCCGCGGGTGATTTATGGACTGGGGGATGTTGTCACAAGCAGAGTAGGGGTGTGAGGGGAACGTTTTTATTGGAGATTAATAACATCAACATACAGAACGGAAACAGGATTATTAAAGCGACGGAATGTTTCCCCAAACGAAAATATTTTTAAATGAGATTGCTTTTTCTCTCTCCCCTTCTTTCTCCCTTTCCCAGTCCTTGGTGCCAAAGTTGCGGTGATAAATCTCTGCGTGGCTTTAAAAACGTTTACTGCTCGATACTGTTAATCCTGATACCGAATCGCTGCCGTGTGAACGGTGTCCTCGTGCACCGCAAAGCAGCTCCGGCCCTTCGCGGCGATCTTCCCACCACGTTGGAGAAACACGAAAAAAACATATTCTGCATCCCTGAGGCTTTTCTGCCTTGCAGGATAACGGCCTCCCGTTTCCCCCACTCTTACCCCGTTGTGGAACCCAGAGCTAATTAACTGCTTGTATTTAATCCTTTAAACGCATTTAACTCTGAAATTGCCACCAGAATTTAACGAAAACCCTTCTCGGTGTACATGTATTTTAAATCACAGTCCGAGTTCGCCACCAGCCGTGGATAAACTGCCCACGGTCCACGCCAAACCGTTTCCATCACTAAGGCGAACCCCGGGGACGGGCGAAGCGTTCCCCTCGCCGGGGGGTTTCCACGGGGCAGGGTGGAGAGGACCGCCGGGGAGACGGGGGATTGCATCAGATGTACAGAAATAAACCTGGTGCCCACCTCCTCCGATGAGAATATTGGGCTATCGGGGGCTGGAGACGGGGGCAATCCCTGGACACGCCGCGGTTACTCGGGTGGGAGAAAATCTCGGGGGAAATGCTGGGCTTTTGTTCCTTAGAGCCCGTCTTCCCCCGACTCCCACCCACAGGTTTCTCCCTGTGATGGACCCTGCTCTACGCTTCTCTGCCCGCAGTCCGAAGTTTCATACTTGTTTTTCCTCCCCTCTTTTTCCCCTCCCCCAGTTCTTCTCCCGTCTCAAAGCCCACCGCTGCCTCGCGTTTGCTGGACCAGACATCGGAGAATCGGTGAGTTTTGCTGAATAATCCTCCTACCTGCTCCCCTGTCTGTACGTGTCTCCGTACCTCCCTCCGCACCAGGCTCGGGAGCCATTCCTCCTCGAAAGTCACCCAACGTGACTTCTTCCCCCCCCAACAACCCCAGAATAAGCACGGCTGCCCCGGCTTTCAGCTGAGCATTTTCCTTCTGCTACTGGCTTGTCTTTAAACTTGGTGATTTATGGCCGTAACTTTGAGGGAGTGTTTTAAATGGAAGAGCTTTCCTGCGCTCCCTTTGAAGGGAAACCCAGGCAGATTGCAACATTTGCTGCTGATTTTGTGACGAGGGCGAGGGAGTTGCACTTTAAAGAAAAAGAAGCTGCGACCAAAGCAAAGATGGCAATGCACAGGGAGCCGAAAAGAACTACTTACAGGAGCTCAACATAGAAACGTGCAAAGACCTTCTTAACAGGGTTTTTTTTCGGCTGCCAGTTAGGGTTAAAACAAAATTTTACACTTCAGAGGAGTTACTTGCAGAATCCGAGGTGCTCCTGATTGCCTAGGTCCTCCAAATGATTCAGTGGAGAGCTGTATTCAGAAACCTAGAGCACTTCACCTACAAAAAAGTCTTCAAAAGAACAGTCCACGAGTGTTTTTCCTCTTTCCTTCCCCTGGAATTTCAACGCCGGGGCTCCGAAGTAGGAACTCTCTCGTAGCAGAAGATTTATGGTGGAGCAGTTCATACAAAGTCAGGTTGGGGGGAGTAGAAATATAGCAATAATGGTGTCCCCTGGTCGAAACCCTCATGGCTGGGACGTGAACGCTGCAGCCAGAACAATAGCTGGGAACCCCGCAGTCCTCGGGGTGAGACTTTGTCCATCACCTGGAAAACCTTGGCTGCCTGAGCCACAGTGAGTCCTCTCGAAAGTCGAGGGTTTACTCGGACAGCCTTCTTTTTCTTTCCAGAGTTATCAGCCTAAAGGTGCACACAGACACACACAAAAGGGCGATGCAACCCCCCCGGCGGGTCATACCTTCCCGGCGACGTCCAAAGAGCCTTTGTGGTCCCTCTTTTTCTTGTTTTTCTAAAAGTAAATTCCCCCCCGTCAGCACTTCACCCACAGGAGCGAGCGCCGGAATTAAAGGAGGGAAGAGAACTGCGATGCGAAACAAAAGTAGCACTTTCAAAAAAAACCCCCCAAAACTGCAGACACCTAAATTCCTTGCCCTGCCTTCCTCCCACTCGCCAGCCCCTCCTCGTCACGGGCTTTCCCCAAAACGCGTCTTGGCGAGTTTCTGCCC